CGCGTATATGAAGATAACATTTTTTATAACTCTTGACTTCTTCCGAGATAAGATAAAAATAAACATCTTTTTTTTCCTTAAGTTTTGGTGTCTGTTATTTTTAAAGTTAAAAAAAAATAATGTATCCACTGAGTGTACTAGAGTAATTTTCGCACGAAGGGTTATTACAATAATTTATGGAGCTAACAAAGATAGAGATAAAAATCTGCGAATAAATATAATGTTTAGAATTCTTATGTAGTTAGAATGAATCTTACGCGCGTACCGCGACAGGGGTATTCTGACTTTTTGCTTAGTGTATCTGTACATAATGCCCCTATTATATTAGTTGTTTATGTGATTACTGTAATTTTTTTTGTCTATTATGTTATTATTTTATTAATAGACAGGCTTTTAAGAGTTTTTTTTTTATTCTGAAAATAAAGAAAATTGATTATTAAGAGTGCTTATAACTCATTAAAAAGAAAAGAAATACGATTATATTTTGGTAACTTTTTTTTTTCTTTTTTTTTTTGCATGGAGTTAAGAATAGGAAAAGAATGATTTCCTTTTACATTTTTTGTCAAAAATCATTATTAGTTAAAAGATATATACATAAAATTTTTAAAATAATTCATAAAGAATCGGAACATAATTTGCATAAGAATCGTGAAATAAGAATCCCACCCTCAAAACAAAACTTTCCAAAAGAAATTGAGTTAACTTGAACAGAGCTCAAAGTTTAGTATGTTCTCCAGAGAAGACGGTTACTGACTATGGATAGAAGTGTGGGGTTAAGCAAGCTTTATGAATTCAACCTCCCCTTTCTGTTTAAGCATTTTTACACAATAGCATTTTTAAATAAACAAGAATAGAAAAAAAGAACATAACTAAATAAAATCACGAATAACTTAAAATTTAACTTTAAGTTTTTTCTTTACAAATGCTGTGTGATTCCTTTCTATTATTAAAAATGTGTGGTCTGCGTATATTTCTTTAAAAATTCTTTAAAACATTCTCATTTCCAGTTGTCATCTAGTGACTGTAAAGACACTGCCAATAGTTGAAAGAAAAGAGCTATTTTAACTTTTTTTTAAACTATGGCAATGGGTTATCAAAACAACCCATTATGATAGCAAACAAAAAACATGCATTTGTACTATTATTATCAGTTAGGAATTTAACAAACAACATAAAATGAGCTGTACTTTTTCACTTTAAAGAGATTTCCCGATGTATTTTTAGACTCCAGACAAATAATTTTCTTTTTTATGGAATGAAATGAAGGCTGAATTCAATAGAAAAGTAGCTTAGAATAGCCATTCTCTCTCACCCATTTTCACGCTCTTTTGACAACGTTATTTTTCTTGTTTCATCTCAACACGAAATACTGAAGTACATAAAATAGTATACGAAGCAGGAAATATTTATTTACTTATTCTATAAAAAACCCTAAATGCACATTACTTTTTATGAAAACAAAATAGATTGTCTTCTTTTGGAATTATTTTGTTGTTGTTGTTTCTTATGCCACCTGATCTTGACTGTGTCAGATTCAAGCCCACGAAATTCATCATGACAAGGGGCTAGATATACGCCTGTCATTAACCATAGCCTTGAGCACCATACAGGTGACAGTACGATTTAGCTCGGTTCCACCCCAATTTTAATGGAGAACACCCTGGGGGAGGTATCAGAGGCCTTCCATTTCTCTTCCCCTTTTACCAACCTCTCAAGAAATCTTGCGGCTTGACGGCTATTTAGAGTACCCCCATGCAGCATGTACATTTACAAACATCCATGCCTTCTCCAGGATTCGAACCCAGGCCCAACGGCACAGTAGTCAGTGTCGCTAACCACTATACCGTATGGGCGTCAAATTGGAATTTTGGAATTCTATACCTATGAACGTCTTAAAATTTCTTGAAGTCCTGAAATCCTATAAAAAATTAGGCCCTTCCTGTGATTTTTAAAAGTAGACAGTATATAGCACACGTTGTTCAATACTGTTTCAAACGGTAACCCGAAACAAATGAATGTGCGTGACTTACAATCTCACAAACCAAGGCACAAATCGACTCAACCGACTGACGCCTTTCGACTAAAGGAGTAGTGATGGCGAGCCTAGACATGAAAAACGGCTTTCGCATAAAATTACAGTCTTGGCACTGTTACTCGTTGACATAAAGTGCGAAATTACCAGTTTTCCTGAAAATATGTCCTGGAATAACATTTGATCATCACAATTATTAGGATAAGGATCTCATTGAGGTGAAATCGAGAACAAGACGAGGGACCCTTTGAGGCCAAGGCCCAGGGCCTGTCCCAATTGGCCATGCCTTAAGACGTCCCTGTCTATACCATGGGCAAAGCATTGAGTAGGAGTGAGAAATTTTAATAATCAAAAAGTTGTATTAGTTATCTGCAAGATAAGCGCATTAAGTAGTAAAAAAAAACTTACACTTTTAAATCTGTGTTTAAAGCAAAACGCAAGAGAGAGAGTCAAATATAATAATAATAGCGCTACAAATATAACAATATCAAATGCTACATTTGCTATCAAACAATTCAAAATGCATTAAAAAATAAAACATTTTCATTTGAAGTTAGTTTTCGTAGTTATATTCAGTAGAAAGCATTCTGCATACTGTCAGCCAATCTTGAATATTTCGGAAAATAATTACTAACTGCTAATTTTCGGGCAGTCACCCCCAAATGCCCTGGCGGTCTATCGCGGTCGACTTAATGCCCATCGCCGTTGTAGTGTATAAATGTCAGACCTTGAAAATAATGTTATATAAAGAATGGAATTTCATCAAAATAAATGTATCTGTTTCCGAATCTTAATTTCAAATATTAAAAAAAAAAAAAATGTATTGCATGGTCACGCACTCTAATAGAGTCACATACCTCATCACATCCAATCTCAACCACATCTTTCAGAATTTTGTGTATGTGAGAGAACATGTAATTTCAGAGGATTGCAGGGATTAAGTATAATTTCCTTATTGGATAGATATCTTGGCGTGGGGGATGAGATATTCTTAGTAATTGATTTCTTTCTGTTCCCAAGAAATTTGTAAGCTTCTTAGGTGTTGGCTATTTTGTTAATGCATTTTTTTAACTTTTATTTTTGTCTAATTTAAGTATATTGGAACTTGAGTATGATGATTCAGCAGAGGATGTATTAGAAGTTCCTTCGTGAAAATTGGGCAAATGGATCAAGAGTTATATTGGACTCGGAAGAAAATATAGGACTGGATGTTGTTAAGACATGGATAGAATGTTTTGTACAATTAGTTCAATTAGAAACTGCAAAGACTACAAAAAATATCCATTTTAATTTAAAATGGACTCCTAATTTCATTTACAGTATCAAAATTTAATTCAATATGTACTTGACCTATATGTGCTAGAATCACGACATGGGTCCTTAATTTAACTTAAAAATAGTCGTTTGAGAATAGAATTTGAAAATTAACTACGGAGTTTAGAATAAATAATTAATTTTAACTAAATTGTTTCTCTCAGTTTCTGTATTTTTACACAGTGAAAATCGCTTTTATAACAAGTTACACTACCACTAAGTACGCATGAAACGTCCTAAGGAAGAAAATTCAAGAGGAGTAATATTCAATTATTCCTTTAAATATTTGTTCGTTTTTCTGTCAGTAACTCTATAACTGGAGTTTTTTTCTGTAATATGCATTTCCTTTAAATAAATAAGTATGAAAATAGAATAACTTGCTTTGCTATATCTATAAATATGTATTACATCTTGACATTTTAGGAAATGATATCTTGGTGATGGATATGATAAGTTTCATGGAAAAGAAAGCAATCTTTACTCGCATGTTTCTTTAACTAAGACCATACTCTTCAATCTATCTTGCGATACTCCAAACCATGATTTTACAACACTAGAAAGCATATTCATGGTACAGGTGTCAACTGGGAAAGATAATCTAAGTTAGGTAAAAATTTGAATAACATTTTGTGAGAGAGAGAGAATTCTTGAATAAAGCATTGAATGTCGGATAATGATTTTACTACCAATTCATCGAAATTTACCTTTTTGATTTTCAAAATTATGAACCTCATAATGGGTTCTGGAGAAAGATATAGTAACTCTAAACCTTTGCATGAGTTGGAATCTCGCTGTCTTAACTTCCATATCCTCTCGATAAATTCAAGGCCCAGTTCAGTTAAGATGTAGCATCTCTCATTATTTGGCTACATAACTAATTAATGCAATAATGACTAAGTTTGAAAAACATCGGCTAGAGCAGGAGGGGGGAGATTTTTCTTGGATACGGGCTTCTTCTAATTTTTTCAAGGTGTTGCGGTCCACCAAGTGGAGTAGGCGTGTTGAGCTAAGAAAAAGGTCTACAAAATATTTATAACTTAAAAACAAAAACAAAATATGTATACTTACTTACATAACTACAACAAAATAAATTACACTTTTAAAACCGCGTTTAAAGCAAATAGAAGATACAAACATAATAATAATGGTCACAATTATAATAATATCAAATGATGCATTTATTATCAAGAAATTCAAAATGCAGTAAAAAATAAAACATTTTCATCTGAAGTTAGTTCTTGTAGCTATAGTCAGTAGAAGAATAAATCTGCGTACTACCAACCAGTAGCGCACACAGGAATTTTTCAAGGTGGCGGTCCGGTGTGTCGAAAGTTCACCAATCTTGTATAATGCTCCTTTTGATTTTGTCGATTTTCGGGAACAAAACACAGTAAAAAACTAATTATCGGATAAATAATTAGCATTAATTAATAAAATTAATCATTAATAACAAATAGTTAAATTTTACGTACTATATACTTAGAATTATAATCAATCGGAAAAAAAATCAAGGGCTTTGGGGAGGGGGTACCGGACGTCCAGGACCCCTCCCTTGTGTGTGACACTGCTGCCAACTAATCTTGAATATTTCGGTATATAACAGCTAATCTTCAAGCAGTCACCCCAAAATGTCTTGGCGGTCTACCGGTCGCGCATCCCTACTGTAGCGCAATGGATAGCGCGATGGACTTCCAATCCAAAGGTCGTGGGTTCGAATCCCACCTGGGATGGCCTAACTTACTGAGAATGTGATTTCTTTTTTTACTATACTCTTTTATTAAAATAACTAAATTTAATTAATGAATAATTAATATATAACAAAAATAATAGGCCAACACAATATATAGAAATGAAAGAGGAAAATTGCAAGGACAGCTGCTTTCTATTTTGTCACTTAATATTGTGATTCTGTTATATATATATATATATATATATTTATTTATATTAATTGCAATCATTTAATAAAAAGTAACTAAAATAAAAATTTTCTTTGTTGACCCAAGAAGGAATTGACTTTAATTTGTTTTTTATATTACTTGTTAAAACGTAAAATTTGTTAGGAATCTAACGAATTATTGTACAGTATATTCCAAAGGAAATATTTCATACTGAAAAAGTTCTTACTTGATATATTACAACAGATTCACACATTAGTTAAATGCTATTTGACTGAAGGAGTTGGGGTTTCCGACTATCCGACAAAATTTGAATCAATTTAACAAAATCGAATCAAATCAGTATTAAAATCTTCAAACAAAGTGATATAACTATTAACAGTATATTGCATGTTAAAGCGTTGTTAGAAAAAACCTCAAGAACATGATTAAATCTTGACATACCACTTTTATACTACCCTACATGATGGTTAATATCTAAGCATTTCAAAAGACACATTTTCGTTTTCATTCATAAATTCCATGAATTAATTAGAAGGCAGGATCTCGTATCCTTTGTAAAATTTACCAGACGTGAAAAATTAAAAGACAGAATCTAATATTTGAATAACAACTCACATATATATATATCCCTCGTTTTCAATAATGTAACTAAATATTCATAACTAAATGCTACCCTCATCTTTTAAAAGGCCACATATTTCTGGACAGTGCCGAAATTAAACAATGCCATCCACCAATTCATCAAGAATTTTTTATTATTAATATGAACCACCCCATGACAGCCACTTCCCTTAACTTGGGATATTAAAATTAATGTCCCGCTTTGAACGAAATTGATCTCATTCGGAAAGGAATGATCAATCGCCTGGTGACCAAACATGTTCGAATTTCTTTTTAATAATTATCGGAAGGGCATCCTACACCCCCGATTCTCGCTCATATGCCGCAAATTAAATTCTTTTCCCGTTATTGACAAAATGCTTCATTTCCGGTTAGGCGATGTTTCACGAATCGCTGGTCCCGTAGCATTGGCAGGTTGGTATTTTTTTTTTTTTATTATTATTATTTAATAATCTTCTCACACTTGGCTTGCTTTTCACTGTAACCTTAACTTATCGATGAATTTGAGCGGCATTTTAATCATTTTTTGTTCTCTTGTTCTTTATTCTTGATGCTGTTTTCGTTGGCTCGGACCCTATACGGAGGACGATGAGTGGAATTAATATTCTGTGGAATTTAATTGTGTCAGATATTCTTTTATTTTTGGATTATTGGAAAACTAGTCGATTGTCACAAGCATATTTTTTTAAAACTTAGTTGTTCAGAGTGACCTTAAAGTGACATCCCTTGCTCCTTGTACCATGTAGCTACAACTCAGGAATGTGACTTGTCTATTAATTAAACCGTAACCGTAACCATGATACTGAGTTCGAAAAAGGCCATGTTAGAAAATAATTCGAAGATTTGAAATCCCTCGTTGTAAAGAAATAAAACTAAATGTGGAGACTGGCCATGCAAAAAATACATATAATATATGAAATAGAGGTTTTGAATATAAAAATGTTTGCTAATGTGTCGATATCCCTTTCCATATTGGATTTTACTCCTAATCAATTCATTCTTGGAACATACATTATTACAATTGTAACGGGTCTATCCGCGAGCGTCTCACTAATTCTCTTGGGGGGTAAATTTATTTCTTTTACATGTTGTTATATCAAAACCTTTCTCCCGAAGAAGAAGACTCGGTTAATGCAAATGTAGAGTTCTATTTAAGCATTGACTTTTAGATACGCGGAGTAAGTGGTAAGTAGTTGAGAACTAGTAGACGAGTAATTGCTGAATGATCAAAGATTGCTAATTGACGATTTAGTCAATAAGATAGAATTTAATAATAATGACCGGAGGTCGAACAATTAACAGTGGAATTACGGTAAATTAGACCGTAGACATCCAAAGTGTTCAAAGAGTAAGTTAATTGAATTATAATTGAATATTAAATATCCCTTTTGTTGTGTAATTGCTCCTATACTTAGTAGAAGTATGCATTTCCTATCCTGGGTTGTTAATTTAAGTGAAAGAACAATAAATCAGAATTGTATATATTATGGCTGATCT